AATAAAGTGAGAGTGGTGTATTGGGTAGTGTAGCTTATGTAAAAAGATTTCTTTATAAGAAGTTTTGGGATCAATTCTCGCAGAGTTTTGAGGTTTTGGGATCAATTTCCGCAGGTTGAACACTGAAATGATGTTTTTTTTTTGTTTTTTGTGTTTTTTGTTTGAGCAAAGTTGAATGATGAAATGATGTTTTTTAAATTTTGTTTGAGCAAAGTTGAACACTCGAGATGTTTTTTCTTGTTTGAGCAAAGTTGAACGATGAAATGATGTTTTTTTTTGTTTGAGCAAAGATGAATGCTAAAATGATGTTTTTTTTTTTTCTTTCTAGCAAAGTTGAACGTTGAAATGATGTTTTTTAAATTTTGTTTGAGCAAAGTTGAACGCTGGAATGATGTTTTTTAAAAATAAAAAGTGCGCCTGGTGGGATTCAAACCCGCAGTAAACTTTAGCCCTTAGAGCTAATGAACAAGCCATCGTAACATATTTGATATAAATTTGTGTTAATATTATAGTTAAATTTTAAAAACATGGTGTACACCTAACTCATGCAAAACTCACCTCGCCTATGAGCCGAGTCCGACTTGTTTTTAGAACTATGGTTACGGGCATAAATTCTGGCAACAATTAAAAATTCAGAACGAATAGAAAATTTATAGCAACTTTCTCCAGTAATTATACTATATCTTTGAAAAAGGAAAGTCCACAATTTTTAGCATTCCTATGGCAGGAAAAGTAGAACAAAGGGAAGTGCGTAACATAAAAGAAAGAGACGGGGGATATCAAAATAGGAATGACAGTATCCATGGTTAATTGTGCTCACTTAAATTAATAAAATGATACAAATGAACATTTCCAATTGGTTCAGAAAATCAACAATCCAGTCTACCAAAGTGGTCATTAAAAAATTAAAAATTAAAAGTAAAAAAGTGGGACCGGTCTTGGCCGTTTCTTTGATTGAACCGGGTTCAACTGAACCGACTGTATTAGGGGGGGAACCGGCCAGTTCTCAATATTTCTCTATATTCGTCTCTGATGATTCCTGATCCGCTGGTTCCAAACCGAATCAAAATCCTTTTAGACCTGGATACATTTTGTATATTCCAAATTTTGTCTCAACTTTCTAATGCTGACAATTGCCAGTTGTGATGAATTGCCGTCTTATTTGACAGATTTGGCAAACACTAATTGATCGATCCCAACCACGAAGATCCAAGTAGAGCATTCTTTATGCAAGTTTCTCTGCAGTGACATTATTTTTAGCTTGATAGCAAGTAACCATAGTTAGAAGATGCCATCCTAAAGATCAAAAGTTGGAGCCAAAACCTTTATTTAAATAGTTGTCAATCATCAGGTTCATCAAAACTAATATTTTTGTTAGTAAGAACTAGGGGTAGTCCGAACTGGGCCGAATAAGATCTATTCACACTCGAGAAGGTCGCTGGCAGTGATCTAGGGCAGATCCCTAGTAAATAAATTTTTTATTCTTCTTGTTGTATCCACATACCAATCTAAATCAGAATTGCCAATGTGACTATTAAGTTTTATATTTATATTACTAAATGTGACGATTAAGTTTTGTATTTATACTATATGATTATCAGAAGGAAAAAGTTTATATAATGTTGTAACTTTATATGTAGAACTACGGATGCACCTCAAAAATCCATCAGATGCCCCATGACTTTCAGACAATAGAGAGAGTTTAGCCAATAAAGAAAGATATATCTCCTTGACCCACAAAATTAAAGATGCCGCGGGATTTTCATAAATTTTAGATAAGGAACTATATGATAGAGTTAAGATATATGTAAGATAAAGTTAAGAGGGAGAAGAACTTTCCTTAGGTATAAAATGATATCATTCAATAGAGGGTTTTCTTTTCTTACTACAACTTACCTATTATTAAAAAAACTTAGTTGCATGACAAGAGAGTTTCCAACATGAAGAAACCAAATTTATAAGGAAAATTTTGAAAAAAAATAAAATCTTTTGAAAATTTAAACATATGATTTGATTAATTACAAAATATTATATAAACAAGACTTTTTTGGGATCATTAACGGATGGAGAATTTATATATAGTCAAGTATCACCTTGCCATGGTTTTAGGAAATCCAACTAACTAAACATAAGCAAATATGTTCTAATATGGATATATTGTTATCTATTAGTCTGTTGTTTCTCTTCTTAAATTTTTTTTTTCACTCATATCTTTTTATAACAAATCAATCAAATGTATTTACGTCAAGATGGTAGAGGCTAGGTTTTCATAGCCCAATATTTCAAGTTCCATTTCTATGACTTCAATGTGACCATGTAAAAAAAAAAAAGGGAGAATTTGGATAGAGATAAATCGCAAAGAGGCTTAAGAGAGATAGATAGAGAGAGTGATTGCTTTACATATCTAGGTACCTTTTTTGCCCCATCTCATTGTACTTTCCCCCTCTTCCCCTTCTCATCATCCTCTATGTAGTGTTTTATTATTTAATATTGTTTCTTCATTTATTTTATTTTTTTAAAATTTTCTCTTTCTTTGTTTATTTATCTATTCTCATAATTTGATTTTTTTTTTTTCATATTATGCAGGTATTCATATTTAATTCATTGCGTTTGACATTGATAATATACATCTTTAATGTTATG